TTTGAGACGGTTCATATAGTTGTCGAAGTCATTGCATATAATCTTTGAGTCAGGAAATACAGTATGGCACAGATGGGATATATAGAAACTTCCACCGAACAAATCTACAAATGTTAGACCATTCGGTAGTTTCTTAAGTTCTCTCAATAGAATATCTTTACATCTACTCTTATTTCCAAAGAAGGGTAACGGTGGTTTTGTAAAATTCATTTTATATACAATAAAAATGTTTTTTTCCTGAAAAGTGACAGAAAAGTGACAAAAACATTTACGAAGAAATCTTGACAAATTCAAGAGGGTAGAAAAGAGGTTAGAAAAGAGGTTATATCTAACCTTCTACCCTAAATATATTTTTGTCTGATTTTACGAAGAAGTCTTGACAAAACATTTACGAAGAAGTCTTGACAAAACATTTACGAAGAAGTCTTGACAAAACATCTTCAGGGCTAGAAGGCACGAAGTGCCTGGAAGCCCCACTACCTTTTTTTTTTTTTTTTTTTTTTTTTTTTTTTTTTAATATAATTTATAAACAACTATTATTTAATAAAGTTTAATTGCCAAGGTTCATCTAATTTTTTGATTTTTAATGTTTTATGAATTTTATTTATCATGTATATATCTAATGAAGATTATATATGTAGAAGATAAGTACCTTAATATGTACGTAAAAATTAATGAAATTTATTTTGAATGTAGAACCGAGCAATTTTCAAATTTTGTGCTTTTTTTGAATTTTCTCGATACCAGATAAGTTGTGTTGGCTAAATAATAAAAAAAAAAAAAAAAAAAAAAAGGTAGTGGGGCCTCCAGGCACTTCGTGCCCTCTAGCCCTGAAGATGTTTAGTATAAATGAAGTTTTTATTCGGAAAATTGTTAGTCTTCTGGTGTGAATTCGGAGGACTCTTCTTCTTCCTCCATTGCTTCTGGGAAGAAGCCTTCTTCTGGGTCGAAAACATTATATAATGTTTCACTTTTCACAAATTATATATGTTTTCATGCTTTGTCACTTTTCTGTCACTTTTCAGGAAAAAAAACATTTTTATTATTATATATAAATGAATTTTACAAAACCACCGTTACCGTTCTTTGGAAATAAGAGTAGATGTAAAGATATTATATTGAGAGAACTTAAGAAACTACCGAATGGTCTAACATTTGTAGATTTGTTCGGTGGAAGTTTCTATATATCCCATTTGTGCCATACAATATTCCCAGACTCAAAGATTATATGCAATGACTTCGACAACTATATGGACCGTCTCAAACATATACCAGACACAAACAATATATTGAAAGAGTTAAAAGAAAAGATACCTATAGGTAAGATGGAACGTATACCATTAGATAAGAAAAATATTGTGAGAGAGGTTTTGAAAAAAGCAGAATATATAGACTGGGATAGTATATCTGCTAGACTATTATATAGTGGTTCTATAAGAGTTCATGACATTGAAACACTTATGTCAAAAGTTTTATATCTTAACTATACAAATGTTTTCAAAGAGGACATAGAAAAATATATTGAGGGTATAGAGTTTGTGAGATGTCATTGGACAGATTTGTATGAAAAATATAAAGACAAGGAAAATGTTTTCTTTATAGTGGACCCGCCGTTCTATAACACATGGGATTTTCAATACCAAGTAGACTGGACTTTGAGAGACTCTTTAGAAACTTTAGACGTTTTACATAACCATCCATGCTTTTACTTTACATCCGATAAAAGTGGTTTGGAAACCGTTATGAGATGGCTAGAGGACATACATGACTATGAGTTTATATATGACAAGATAGAATATGAGAGAGGTCCTATAAACTGGAGAAAGTGTCACAATAAAGAAATTTTATTAGTAAGTAAATGTGGTTTGAAATCGGATTGTTAGTTTTAGGTTTTTTCCATTGTGTCATTTATTTATTTGACGTGGCAGAAAAGTACAGAGAATATGAAGATGAACCAATGCCTGCAAATGTTCAGCATATGTACTCGTAAGAGATATTTTTATCTAATATTAAATGGACGCACAGAACTTAGCGAATGCACAGCAACCTGGACAACCAAACCCAGAGAATATTCCAAATGAAGTTAGAATACAAACTGCAATGGCAAACTATGGTCAAGTGCCAACAGATGTACAAATGCAAACTGCCATGTCAAATGACGCTGCGTTAGGTTTGCCACCATGGTATGCAAATATGAGATGGAAAGAGTTTTATACAAACCCTGAAGTGGGATATAAACAACTTTATGCAGATGACGCGAACACAGGAGTTGACCCAGAATATGTTTTCTACCAGAGGAGAAACAGAATGTATGAGCTCCAGTTAAAGAATGCTATGGAACTCAACAGGAAACGTAAGAGACTAGGCGGACATTAGATTTTTACATATAGTAAAATGGGTTTCTTCAGTAGTATTGGAAACTTCTTCAGAAGAGTTGGAAGAGGTATATGGAATGGAATAAAAACCGTAGGAAGAGGAATTTGGAACGGTGTCAAAAATATTGGTAAAAGGGTAGGTCAGTTCGTTGGTATTATACCTAAAGACCCTGAACCAGAAGAGCAAGCTCCTGTTATACAACAGCCTGAACCTGCACCACAGTCTAGTTGGCAACCAAATCCAACACCACAACCGTATTAAAAAATTATATTTTTACCGTTCGATAGTAGTTGTATATGAAACTAAGTTCTAAAAAACGCATGGTATAATGGAATTATTCTCTTTCTTCCATCTGTAGTAAACCATACTTGAAAGTCTGAAATACTTCCACTTGGTGGTTCGTATAACTTTGTAGGTTTTTCGTAAAAGTCATTTGCCAAGCATAAGAAAGAGTTTTGGGCGCCAGAAAATGAAGCATGAACAATAATAGCAGCTGGGTCGAAAACATCTTTAAATAAATATGGTTCATCTCTTGCATATCGACTGTAAATATTTGCTAAAGGAAGTTCGACTTTCTGATTTAACATTCTTTGCAAATAATACCATGACATTGCAGTGAATTCTGTATATATTTGTTCGTCTTTCTTTGGATTGTCTTCGTAGATTTGAAATGACACTTGTGAATTTTGTTTGTCATATACAATTCTCACATAAAGTGTGCTCTCGGTATTTGCATATTCATCAGCATATTTTGCATAACATGAATTTATTTTATCTTCTATATTTTTTAACGCAGTCTGTAGAGAAGATGAAAGGTCAACTTGTATTAGCTCAATTTCTTCCCACATTTTTCGTTTCCCTTCAGATATATAATCTATATGAAACCTTACAATAAATGGAAAACTTTTATCTTCTACAGACACAAACTTCATTCTACGAAAGCCAATAGCTTTTGTGACAGATGGGTCTCTTAGCCATCTTAATGGGTAGTCAAAACGATAGCCTTCATGCTTTACGGTCTCTGTCTCAAACTTTTGACCGACATTAGTAAAAAGTTCATCTAATGGTTTAGTTGTAGCAACTCTTGAATTTTCTTTTTCTATTGGAAGCATATTTTATCTAGAATAAAAATGTCAAATGAAACAGCGTCTATGAGAGAAATACAACACAACCGACAACTCATTGTGCAAGCTCTAAATAAGAACACAACAAACTTTTCAAACTATTCTAAGATATCTGAGTCATTGAAAGAAGGAAACTTAAAACTGACATTAAACCCAATGACAGATGAGTTTCTGTTTCAAGACAATAAGAACCATACTGTCTGTATAAATCCAACAAAAGGAACTTTAAACGAGAAACCTATAAATGAACTTCTTTTGAAAGCAGATGTTGACAACAAAGCTGACAAAGAATATGTAGACGATGCAATAGCAAAAGAAGAAGAAAGAGCTAACAATGCTTATGCAACAAAAGAACATACTCATCCTGAACTAGCAGACAAAACATATGTTGACAATAAAATGTCAAGTGAAGTGACAAGAGCTGAAAACGAATATTCTAAAAAGACTCATACACATACCATTGCAAATATTACAAACTTACAAGAAACCTTAAACAGGAAAAGTGACGTTGGACATACACATACATCTTCTGAAATAACAGACTTAAACGTTAGCCTTGAAAAGAAGGCAGATAAGGAATATGTTAACGAAATATACCAAAGTTTGATAGGAACAACGAAAAATATTGAAACTATTGTTGGTGACTTTTCTATCTATGAAGAAAACAAATATTTTAGATGGGAGTTTGTACACTCCTTAAAAAATGGTACACGGTGTAAACTCATTCCGAAAAATAACAATGAAATGTATGTAGGCTATATAAAGAATGATGGTACACAAGTTAAAGTTCCATTAGACAACAACTGCTACTTAAACTTATATGGAGACGAACAAAAGAAATATTTCCGAGTTTATGAAATGGCAGATATGACATTGCCTGACCCAGCTCCAGCACCATATTATTATGACTATGGTGTTGACGCACGTGTAGACCCAAAAAAGCAAACATTATATTTAGAATATTATAGATATAAAAGATATAATGCAATAGAAAAAACGAGAATAGTATATTATTATATAGATGACAAAAATAAATATTATAGTCAAGATTTTACCTACCCTGAAAACATAAGATTATATTATAAAAAATATTCTGACACAAACCAGAAGAAACCTGAAATAGTTGCGCTATATTTTAAGTTCAAAAGAGACAATCTTATAAGATCTCATATGTTTGATTTAATGAACCCGGTTGGCTCATTATATGTTTCAATGAACTCTACCAGACCAGAAGTAATGTTTGGTGTTGGTGTATGGGAACAAATAGTCGACAGGTTTTTGTATTGTGCAAACTCTTCAAAGGAAACAGGTGGAAGTAAAACGATTTCAGGTGAAAATTTACCTGCACACAGTCACTACATAGATTTAAGTACATCTCAAGCAGGTTGGCATAAGCATAAATTTTGGGATTGGTCAGCAATGAAAAAAGGTAAAGGATATGATGTTAAAGACGACGTTCAGTTTGCTATAAATTGTTTCTGGGGTGACACTCAGGGAGATGGAAACCATACACATCGCGTTTCAGGGTATACGCAAACAACGGGACAAAGTAAAGAATACATGCCACCTTACATGACAGTTTACGCATGGTATAGAATTGCTTAGTCGTCATTTTCAACTTCTTTAGCATATTGGTCAGGAGTTGTCTTATATTTGTTAGGAACTGTCTTTGAAAGTATACCACCTTGAACTTTGACAAGTTTGAAACGAGGTCTGACAATAGTAGTTTTATCTTCTGCTTGCAGTCTGTACATTTTGCCATGTTTGCCTAAAACTTCATAATATTCTCTTGTATACTTTCTTCTATTTTTACGAACACGAATGTGAGTACCTGTCGGGTTCCCATTGTTGTCATAGTCAATAGTATTTTCATATGGGTCGCGTTTAGGTATTTCTATTTTTACTTTGTCACCTTTCTGAAGTTTGAAGCCCGGCATTCTTTCTTGTTTGTCTCTTTTGACTAAATTATTAAATATATAGTCTTTCTCTAAGTCAGGGTTGTTTTTCATTTCTTCGGGGGAGTGGTTTCCCAAACCTTTTTGTTTACGGCTATTGTAAATATTTAAAACTTGTCTCATCTTTGCCATGGAGAAGTGTCTATATTTGTCGTCATATGACATTTCATTTGCTTCACCACCTTGTGGTTGGTTTAAGTCTCTTAACATTTTTATACAACCGTCAATGACACCAAGAGCAGAATGGTTTTGGTCGACAATGAAATATTGGTTTACATTTTTTGAACGCAGATAGTTTTTTACATCATCTGATTTGAAAGAACTTTCACAGTCAGATGTCAGTTTTGTTGGATGGTATTTGTCAACGAATATTGTCAAAGCAGTTTTCACATCTAAAATATTTTTGGACCATAATGGTATGGCTTCACAGTATCTTGTGTTTTGACCGACAAATATTAGCCAGTATGGTGGTCCATCTGTTCTAACCTCGGAATGTTTTCCAAGATATCCATAAACCAAGCATTTGGTGTTGAACTAAAGATTTTTACCATGAGTGCTTTTTTTGTCGCTTTAGAAACATAGGGGTCCTTGTTTGGATTCGTCATTTTTTATCCTATAAGAAATGGGTTTATTTGGCGCATTAGCAGGAGTTGCATCCAGATTTTTGCCCGCAGTGGGAACAATAGCCAGAGGTGTATTTGGAGTTGGAAGGAAGATTTTGAGTACATTAGGTATACTTAAAGAGAAAGCACAACCTATTATACAAACTGTACAGAAAGGTTGGGATGTAGCACGAGATGCAACAAATCTTATTCCAAATCCTGAAACAAGAGGAAAAGTTCAAGGATGGATGGACAATGTAGGAAGACAAGCAGGAAACTATTATAACAAAGCAAATGACTACTATAACCAAGCAGGACACTATATGGACCAAGGTGAAAGATTCTTTAACAGAGGATATAACCATGCACAACAATGGGTAAACAATAACCAACCTCAACCGCCTCAAACGTGGGGAATGTAAAGTTTTTTACTGAGATGAAATGAACAATACAGCATTGAGACAAATGGGTTCAAGATGGATTTGTCGGCTTCCAGCAGTTACACAACGTGTTTGTCAAGTTCTTCCTATACCTCAGAAGTTTTAGACCGACTTAAAAAACCTAAACAACCAGTTGAAAACAAACCAAACTAAAATTTTTTACTGAGATGAAATGACCGAAGAAGTTGAAACGGTAGATTTGACACCACAAACAAAAAGTTCAGAACCATTGTCAAAACCTGTCAAAGAACTTACAGATGAAGAGAAAAATTCAATAATAGAAAGTGCCAGGTCTGGAAATACAAACCCTAACTACAAAGTCACTTTTCATAAAATGGAACGGCAAGTATCTCAAAAAAGAAACAGACTCTCACAAATAAAATATTGAAGTCTGAAGGAGCTTTCGAGACAACAGATGGAAAAGTTTACTTCACTGACCAACAGTTCATTATAGAACATCTCATTGACTTAGAGTCGAAATATTCTAAACTTTACAACAAACACAAAAAGTTGAAAGGAAAACAAAAACAAATGGCATATGATATTTATGAAGATGTTAACGACACAACTGTTCCTGCAGGTGAAGTAAAGTCAGAGGAACCGAAAAGTGACGAAAAACCGATAGAAGAAGAGAAACCAAAAACTGAAGATAAACCAAAACCAAAGTTTAGTTTCCAAACTAAACCAAGTCAACCTTCATTAGCTGGTATGGGTTGGCGTCAAAGACTTATGGCAGCAGGGTTATGTAAAGTAAAGAAAAAAAATATTTTTTTATTTTTATAAAAATGCCCCCATATAGAATGGATAGAAAGTCTGCTAGAATAAAAGCAGAGTTGCAAAGATATGGTTGGAGAGTTTCGAAGAATTTTAAATATAGGAAGGGAAGACCCATAAAAGTCTATGACAAACTGGCTGGTCTTCGCTACGAAATGGATTTGGAAACAGCACGTGCAAATTATCCAAACAGACTAGAGAGGTTAGAAGAAGAACGTCTTATGGACATGCCTTTCGATGTTAGTGAACCTCAAGTTGAAGGACACGACGGCTTTGCCAGATTCTACTGGAAACATGACGAACAATTGCATCCTTTGAGAAGGAAAAAAGGTAGTGCAGAGGATGGTCATGCTCCCATGGAAAGAACAAGATATGCATATGAGAAGTACCGTGAAGTTAGAAGTCAAATTACATCTGGTCGAACCTTTACAGTAAACTTTGACGAAGGAAAGAACAAAGAAGGCTTCATGGGAGTACTTGCTGCCATACAAGAGAAATAAGAAAGGACACAATCTCAGATTGACCATAACGGATTTGGATGGTCACATTTACTATGCAAATGACAATGAACAAACAGCTGCAAAACTTCTTGACGCTTTCAAGACTACAAAGAGAGAACAAATGGTTGACTCCGACTCAGACATTTTGAATGCAATTGAAGGAATTGCAAGTGTCAAGTTCGAATGGTACCAACCTAACCCTCAAGCAGTCAGACAACATGCTGGATACTTCCCGTTCATAAATAAGTCTGACATTGACTTGACAAGGTATGGAATTTACAATTCAATTGAAACAATTGTCAATGAACCTTGCATTCTTACATGTCTCAGGAACTCTGGTCTTGTTACAGATGAGAAGATGAAGTATCTTGAGTCATGTGTGAAGACAAGGTACATTCTCAGAGGTCAATTGGCAAAAATTGCACCGTTGGCAAATGTCAATATCCGAGTCAACATACCTACAGCTAAAGGTTCTTCACATGACGACTATGTTGTTGAGTTCAATTTACCATGGTTGAAGATTGCAATTGTCCACAACCACTTCATGTTGAACGAAAGTCTTACAAACCCATTGTTCGGAAAAGGCAAGTGCAACATTGTCAGAGCTGTAAACATTCTTTTCGAGAAAGGTTTGTTGGAACCAATTCCAGATGACAAGCTGACAGAAACTTTTGTACCAAAAGACGAAACAAACTTTTCACTGTTAGCAAGACCAAAAGTTGTTCCAGACAAAGTTCTAGTACAAAAGAAGTACACAATTCCACAAGGAGTTGGATTGTTCGGATACCAACCTGAACCAGAAGAACTTCCAATGAGGTTGCAAGAACTTCAAGATGCTATAAACAAACTTCCATTGAGACATCCAATTGACGTCAAATTGTATTGGAGAGCATCTGAGTTAGGTCAGAAGGTTTTATATGAAACAGGTTGCTTCGACGATGTTTATGAGATAACAGGAGAAGTTTCTCAGAAGATAAGAGACTCACTTGAATTTCCACAAACTGGACCAATTGGTTGCGACAAGTTCGACTCAGATGAAAAGATATACTATGTCGACCTTAACGCTGCATACATGAGGTTTGTCCAATATATTCCGACTGGAATTCCAAACGAAGATGGTGAGTTCCCGGGAAGGAACTATACAGTTGGAAAAGTCATACAACAACTGTATGATATTAGGAAAGCTTCAAACCCCAAACTTGCAATGACACTCAAATTGCTTATGAATTCGACATGGGGATATTCCATTAAGAAACCTCAAGAGATGAAGAGTAAACATTATGAGAAGGTCGACAACTTTGTTGAAAGGTTTTCTCCTTTTGTTTTGAAGTACGAATTCACTCAAGGTCAAAGTGGCTTAGTAACCACATTAAAACCTATTGTCGAACATTGGTCTTACCCTCAGTTCGCAAAGGCAGTCCTTGACAACTACAACAAATTCTTCTCCGAAGTCAAATCCAAAGTGAAGGTTTACTATGAGAACATTGACGCACTCATGACGAACGAAGAAGGATACAACAAACTCATTGAAATGGGAATGGTCGGTGAAAAGATGGGTCAATTCAAATTGGACAAAATTTTCACCGAAGTTCATGTCCTCTCCAAGCGTAAGTACTGGGGCATACTTGAAGACGGCACAGAAATAAAACATTGCATGAAATAAAAAATTTTTATTCGAATTTGAATTAAAATGTGGGAATTCTTGGGAACGGGAAAGGCTTATTTACTTGAGGAACAGGTAAAGGTGGTGGAGGTGGAGGTGGTGGCAACCAGTCCATTTTATATTCCTTCCTAGCTAATTTCCGTTTAATTTCATGGTCGCCCTCGGAGTCTTTGAATCGGACAGGTCGAGTTACACCATTCTTGGTCTCAAACTCATATATAACCTGTTTGTCTGTATTTTCGTCGACTATGGCACGAGACACAAACATTGACCAAACGGACAAAAAGTGTCATTTCGGATGGTCACGCAGCCAATCGCATTCGAGCACTTCGAAGAAGCCTTACGTTCCAAGGGAGAGGGTGTCTGGTGCAAGGCAGAGGTCATGAAACTCTACGAGCAGTACATCCTCAATGCCTGGGAGGACAAATCGTCCTTGGATTGGCAATTCTACCAACTCCTCTGGGACGACCTCCTACGCAACTGGGATAACGAAAGAGCCCAATTCAAAGGTCGGGAACTAATTTTGCAAATTACCCTTAATTTAACATACTTATCCAAATAAACACCTAAATTTACTTGGGGTTTCCCCCTAAAATAAAATTTTTTTACTCTTAGAACCACTCGAGGTTCTCCTTACGGTTGTTGAGCTTGTCACCGTCAATGTGTCTGACCCTCGTCTTCTTGTCTGGATTTGGAACCCATTGAATTGCGACAAGCTTGCCCATGGAGATTGAACCGCGATTCCGAAGGTTAAGGTTCAAGTGTCCCAAGTTGTTGAGGACTGGGGTAAGAACCTTGCCTGTCTCCTTGTTGCGGATTTGGTATGGGTAGGGTTGGGAAATTTCGTAAGCGTCATCGGCAACAAGGGTTGCCCAAACTTCCTTTTCTTCGTGTTTCTCTTCTTCTTCTTCCTCTTCTTCCTCTTCTTCCTCTTCTTCCTCTTCTTTGATAATACCTTCTTCAATTTGGTACTCACGAAGTACGGTGTTGCATGTTCTGTCCTTTCCGAGTACCTTCCAGATGGCGTCTATCTCTTCGAAGAAACGGTAGATGAGTCTGGCAAGGTCTCGGTTCTCTCTCGCGTAAATGTGCAAGGTTTCCGTGAAATCGTTCAGGCATTTCTCATTGGAAGCTTGGTTCGTGAGGACTTCGACTTTGAGATTGGTCATCTCTGTCATAAGACTACTTTGGAGAGTCTTAATGGTGTTTGTCAGATGAGCTTTCAATTGGGCAATTTGAATTTGAACTGGGCGCTTGTCTGGCAACCTTGAAAGGACATCTGCTATTGTGTTCGGCTTCGGTGCTTGTTCGGACATCGAAAAAATGAAGTGGTTTGAGAATGGCGGTTTTACTTCAAAAAGCTTGTTATGACAGTTATGTCATACAACAAGTTTAAAATAATATCTTGTTCTTCTTCTGAACGTTTGTTGTCTCTTCCGATAAAAGTTTGGAACATGAGAACCAAAAAACGTTTTTTGAGATTGCGGAAGAGTTCAGGCAAACGTTCATATTCCGGATATGTTGGGAGCAGTTCGAAACATCTGAGCTGACTTTCGGACAAAATTGGGACAATGTCAACAAATTCATCTTTGGTCGGACTGCTTGAAGGTAAGTCCCTTACATGTAAGTAGCTCTGGTAAAGTCTTCTCATTTCTGCTAACTTTTGGAGTATAGCTTCGTAGTTTAGAAGTTTTAATTTTAATTGTCTTATTCCACTCTTGACATCTAAACGGTAACTATCCATGAGGTCAAGAGTAGCTTTGGTAGCTTTAAGTGGAGCTATCTGTTCCTTGACCTCTGCAATTTTGGTTGCAATTGTGGTTTGAGCTCCTTCAAGTTCGCCGTCTATGTCGTTCTCAACGCCTTCAACCATGGCTTGAAACTCTTCATCGGTCCATTGAGATTGGTGTGGGACGAATTTAACTTGCTTCATTCAAAAAATGAAAAAAAATGTTTTTACTCAAAACGTTAAGGTTGACTGAACTGGTTGGATGTCGCCTTCACAGGTTATGTAGAACGGCTGACCCGAGAAGTGAAGGAGAGACTGAATTGCCAATTTCATATGGGGTAGGGGGTTCTCCTTGTTTGGTATTTTTATCCAAGGACGTTTGTTTAGGAACTTAACAAGAGTTTCTCTTTTGGCGTCCTTTATGTCGTCGAAAGGAGTTTTTTCCTGGTATTTGAATTGGAATTCCAGTCGAAGTCTCGAGATTCAAGGCAGCCCTTCCAGAAATAGCGGTGAACTTGACCTTGGGCTTCATTACCCTGCGCAAGTACTGCTTAACAACTTCATTTATCTCTATAAGGTAAATTGCCTCGTCAAATCCTTCTGGTATTCCGAGTCCTTCCATCCGACAGGAAAATATTTTCCCGACAACTGGAAAAAATTTTCCGGACAAAGGGAAAAAATTTTCCCGACGACAGGAAGAACTCTTCCAGTTGTCCGTCCGTAAACCATTCAAATTTTCGAAAATTGAGAACTTTTTGGTCGAACTTCAGAAAAAGTTTTTCCTTCCGACAGAAAAAGTTTTTCCTTCCGACAGAAAAAGTTTTTTCTTCCGACAGAAAAATATTTTCCATCCCACAGGACACAAACGAATATCCGACGTCCCACCAACCGAGTCCATTCCCAAACCAGAGGAACCTAAAGCACCAGCCCCTGCACCTCAGTTCCAGCAAGTACCTCCGATTTACTACCAATTTCCACCTCAAGGTTACTACCCACCACAAGGCTTCCCGAACTACCCTCCTCAGCCTATGCCTTACTTCCCCAACCCTTGGATGTTTATGCAAAACCCTGCCCCACAATTCCAATCTCAATCCAAGAGAGACCAAGAGTTCGAAGAAGGTCTGAACCGCTTACGCAAAGATTATGCTACTGCCCCTATGGAAGACGACAGGCTTTCAGTCTCTTCCCTCAAATCGACCGATTCGACTCGTACCACAGATTCGGTTCGTGACCGTGAAGACTACCTCAAGCAGTCTGAGAGACTCTTCATCCTACAACCATTTACAGTTGGAGCTCTCAAGAACATGCGCAATTACGAAGGTCAGACACCAGCTGGAGACCGCAAAACAGACGTACTCGCAAGAGCCGTCCAGCTCGTCAAAACAAAGACTGAGATAGTCGACTTCATTCTTGCAGCTTGCCCATACAAGTAAAAAAATAAACAATTACGAGTTAAACTTTTTATTCTTTCTTTTCTGAGTTGTTTAGAGCTGGTTTCTCTTGTAGGAACCTTTCGTACTCTTCCATGGTCATGTAATTGCGAATTTTGTACGCAATTCCAGGTTCGTTGTTTTTGAACCTGATGTATGTAACGCTTCCATCCTCCTCGGGGAAGTAAGCTGCTAACATCTGACCAAGTTTTCTCGGTGACTCGGAGCTCATAAAAATGTCACTTTTTAAACGTTAAGTTTTTAGTCTTATTTTACCCTTTGTTTACCCTTTGTTTGTCAAGGTAGTATTGGAGTGCAATTTCTCCAAATTCTCTGTGTCGGAGTTCTTCAGCATTTTCCAAGGTGTACCTGGAGAACTCAAAGAAGTTGTCAAGAAGATACTGCCATGCTGCTCTTCTGAGTTCGTCGGTATTTTGGAAGTGTTGCACCTTCGAGTCTTCGGACATGAAAAAATGACACTTTTTCTATTAAACCGTTTTGGCATTTCTCATGAGTGAGTATAGTTCTGCCGAACCATTGGAAGAGAAGAAGTACCCTTGCTGGCAAAAGACAAAAATAGTTGCCTTAGTTGTCATTGCAATTGTACTCGTAATTGAATTCATTGTACTTCTCTTCACGTACCTAAAACTCAAGGACGGCATATGCTTTAAGAAGCTACCATCTTACTAAGACTAAACACTTAGATTTTTCAAGCTTGACTTTTTACAATTTGAACTTTGTTGCTGAATTCAGCAAAAATATAATTTAGGGTAGAAGGTTAGATCTAACCTCTTTTCTAACCTCTTTTCTACCCTCTTGAATTTTCATGAATTTCCTTAAGATAGAAAAAATAAAGTTAGTTTTTTTGTATTTTTTTGTATGTAAGATATGATTTCAGGGGTTATCTAATGAAAAAGTGTCATTTTTTTGTATTTGACGAGAATGTCGGGTAGAAGGTTAGATCTAACCTGTTTTCTAACCTGTTTTCTACCCTCTTGAATTTTCATGAATTTTCCCGAAATAAAAAATAAAGTTAGTTTTTTTAAAAAAATATTTTTTATTTTTATTGTAAGAACATGTTAGCAACAACAGCACCAAACTCGTTAGTCATGAATCCAACATCTATGTTAGTAGAGATGAAAAGCTTCATTCCTTCTTCATATACTTTTGAAACAGAAATCCAGAAGATAAAGCAAGAACTTTAACAAGTAATTTAGACTGTAGTGCGAAAGATGAAAACAAATGAACAGTATCTTATGAAATGCAGGACATTATTGACCATTTGCCTAAAACTACCTGAAATCCAACAACCAAAAACTCACTATTCCTGAATTCGACGAAATTGAAGTCAAAGCAACTGACTCAGTAGAAATAAAGAAGTTCATACGAAAGGTAAATTATGAATTCCTTGGTTTTCATTGCACCATAAAGTTATGGACAAAGATTGCGACATGGTATATAAGAATGTTTCTGACATATATAAATCTGAAGAATTTAAGACCTACGAAACTTTGTTACATTAGTTGCAAAATGTGTATGGCAATAAGAGATAAAGATAAAAGATGTAAAATATGGAATGAACAAATAAGACCCGCTATGTTTGAGATGAAGAGAGCAATTGACGCTTTTAGTTGTTTTAGCAGGTAAGGTTCAGAATATAACGCAAAAATGAACCCGCAATGTTCAAAATGTAAAGCAGCAATGAGGAGATATAACTACTCCGTCAAAGAGATAGAAAAGAATGAGAAACGACTATGCAGATTTAAAGAAAGAAGCAGAGAAACCAGCAGAAAATAAAATGGACATGTTAGCATTCTGAACAAAAACTATCCAACTGCTGACGATTTCCTTCTATCTGACGTCAAGAAGAAGTATAAAGAAACTTCGGCATAGTTAAAACATTCGATGTACTAAAAGAAGAAATAGAAGCTACAAAACTGTTTAAAGTCTCACGAATTCATAACGTTTACCATGTAAAACGCTTATAAAATAACTGGGGTAGAAAAGAGGTTAGAAAACAGGTTAGATCTAACCTTCTACCCTAAAATATATTTTTATTGAATTCAGCAACAAAATTCTGAGTAAAATGGCATAAGATTGCTTCCCTCGGAAACAGTGAAAAATAACAGAGTATTTTGACAACTTCAAACAAGCAGAGTAAATGAACTCTTTATTTTTACGCTTGACTTTTTACAATTTGAACTTTGTTCGCGTAGATATGAATTCTGAAAGAAGTATGAGGGTCTTGTATGACTTTGTACTTCTCCCATAGTTCATGTCTGTCAAACTTACCTGCCATGGACTCTTTCATAAGTTCCATGAAATCGTCTTCGGACAATCCGGGGAAAAGTATATGTCAGTAAGTATTCTTTTAACATCCTTACTTAAACTCTTTGCTGTCTGTACACAAATGACAACTGAGATGTTAAAGTGTCTGAGCTTCTTAAGAATTCGACACATATCTTGTTCTCTATTCTTTAACAAAGGATGAGAGGCGAAATCATCTAAGATAAGAAGACATCTATGAGGGTAAGTCTTCCAATCGTAAGATTGCAATTTCTTCGAAATGTATTCTATCTCTTTCTGTTTGTTTCTGAAGTGTTTCTTCTCTAATATTCTCTGCATTTCCTCATTTGGGTCTTTAAACTTAGAATTTATATACTCATTTATAGCATTATACTTCAAAACTCTTCTTTGGTACTTCTTTATCCAATCTAACAACTCAGTATCCTTTATACATACTAACTTAGACTTCTTTATAATATCTTTGAACGAATTGACGGTTTGGTCAAATTGACCAGAAGTACTACAAATAACAACTAACTCATAGAATGGGTTCTTCTCATCTAGTTCTTGTTGTTGTGCAGCCATTTTAAGATAAGTGAAAGTCTTACCCGACCCAGGTGGTGCAATTAGACCTGTTATACCATTCTGAGCAAATAAGAACTTGTCATGTATAGGCTTTATCTGAGCATTTTCTAACTTCCTCTTGTTCTTGTTTAAAACATTCTCAAATTTCTTGTCAATGTCAGCAAACTTTTTTTCTAACATATTTTTAGAAAAATTAAAATTTTTATCTTTTAGAAAATGTCTAGCGATTTCGCTATCTATATTCGAGACAAGCTTTTCGACAGCAAAACATCTGTCGACCATAAAATCTTACATAGTGTAAACAAGAAAGGTGAATTTGTTCTAAAGTTCTGTTTCTGGGAATATGACAAGAACCATAAAACATTAAGCAGAGAAGTCTTAAAATTTGTCAATGACAGACTTGTTGACAGAGATGACGCCTCTTGGAGAGATGAAGTCCAACAAAACTTCTTAGAATGCAAAGAAGACACATGCGCTGTTCTTGAAGATGAAATAGAAAACAGAATAGATGAGCTATTAAAGGACAAAGAACTTTTACATAAATATGGTTGCGCCAAATTTGACATAACTCCACCAGAGAAGAAGAAGAAAGAAAAGAAAGAGAAAAAAGTAGAAGAGAAGAAAGAACCTGAACCAGTTCCAGAGAAAAAGAAATTTGACATGTAAAAATAAAATTTTATTTTTAGAACATTTCTGGGTCAATGTCAATGTTCTCTTCCTCTTTAGGAGTAAACACTGGCTTAGACTCTAAAATCTTTTTACCCAATTTACCTTGAACTTCTACAACTTTAGACTCATAATATTCATAGTCGTCTGCTTTCTTTGGTTCATAAGGTATAACAAGTTTGTATGCTTTGCCTTCTTTAAGGTTTGAGAACCTTCTGTCAAAACTTTCTTTGACTGCTAACAAACCTTCTATGTCTAAGTCTTCAAATTTCGCACCATTTTTAGTCACAATAGCAAACTTAACTGGTTCGATGTTCCAAACTTTGCTGAATGAAGACTTTTCAAAATGGTAGAAGTAAACATTCAAATATGTGAATGGGTCTAGTTCTTCTTTAAGTCCTGACATGTACTTTTACTGAGATGAATTTTGTCATCTTTTCTATCGGATAAAAAAATATTTTTTTTTAAAATTTACTCATAAAAATTTTTCTTTGTATATACACCATTCTGTACGTCTAAAAGACTTTTGACATTTGCCAAGAATGTTCGTTTAGACGCTGTCATATAACCATATTCTTGACAATATTGTTTATACGAATCGTACAATGACCTTTCATCTAAACACTCAAAGTCAGTTTCATCTATGAACAGTTCATATACACTCTTGTTTGCTTCTAACAATGTTTGTCTCTCTTCGGTATGTGGAATTTGTCTTGGATTGAACTTTGAAATATCTAATGTCATAAAATATGAGAACAAGTGGTTGTAAAAGTCAGATGTCAAAGTTTCTGCTAAGTCGTCAAAATATTCTGTATCTTGCATATGAGAATCTGACGTTCTGACAACTACATATCTTCTGTCAGAACTTTCTAACTTCATCGGAACAGCATTGTTTGAAACCATAATGAAGTTTGCAACATTTTCACAAACTCTTTGGTCTTTATACTTTCTTTCAACAACTCCAACTTTGTCTGTTATAAGACTCTTCAAAGCATCTGAGTTTAAAACTTTTGTTGTATCTATACTTTGAAGTTCGTTACATACTATAAGTTTCATATTCTCTATTGAGGAGTTAAACTTGCCACAGATGTTTTCTAAGTTTGTCATATTCGGGTTCGAATAGCCCTCTAACAGTTTGCACAAAATATCTGTAAAGAATGTGTTCTTACCAGTTCCTTGTTTTCCAATTATAATGAGAGCAGTTTCATTTTTAGCACTTGGATGTTGTAAGATGTTTGCAAACCAACATAAGATATACTCATAACTTTTCGTTTCCATTGCATATAATTTCTTTGACATGGTCTAACCAAGCTTCTATAATATTTTCTTTCCATTCTACTTGTTCATATTTATATCCAGTGAAGATAGAATAGAAGTTTGGAGAAGGTGTATAGAACTTTATACCTCGAACTGAAAAATCTTCTAACTTTGACAATAAGATATCCCAAGCATCTAACATCTTCATTCCAACTTGTACAACTTTTATTTTCTTAAGTTTCTGTCTACATTCTTGTTCTGAAACTATTGTCGCTTTAGGTTTGTTAAAGACTACATCCCATTCTTTCATAACATAACATTCTGGGGCAGAGTCGACATAAATGACTAAACGTTTCAAATTCTCGACTGCTTTGTTATAGTCTCGAAATGGACACATATTTCTGAATGCTTGGAAGTCATAAAAATCTGAAACATCTATTCTGTACATTTTTATAAAAATAAAAAAAATATTTTTTTTATTCTTGACTTTTGCATTTGTTGCATTTGTTGTTCTTGAGCTATTTGTTGTTGAAGTTGTTCTTGTAATACAATACTTTCACCAGTTGCATCTTCCAATTCGAAACTTTCTGCCGTCATTGACAAATACATAGGACATAAAAGTTTTACAGGAACAAAGTTTGCGTCAACTAATGTCAACGTTATACTTGCCAAAGTGTTTGAGTTCACTAAGGTTGAAAATTCTGCATTCGAATGAACAATAGGCAAACCAGCAGAGAAAGTATTGTTTATACGCATAAGTATCTTTTGGTCATAATAGTTTCTGTCGACATTCGAATAACACTTTGAACCTAAGTTTGAAACAATATATAAATTGGTGTGCTTAATGTCAATGGAATAGACATTCCTTGTATGACACCTTTTCCTGTTATAGGAAACTGTTGGTAGTAAAAACCAGAAATAAGTTTTGTATTATAGCTCATATCGTTTATAGTAAACTCAGTCGGACATCCAAACATAATGAAACCTGCTCTAGTTGCAGCACATGTTACACCCGTCCTTAAAGTATTAAATAAGTCAACAAAACCTGTTGGTGGTATATCTGAGTAAGTATCTTCAAAGGAGTATTTTTTACCATTCACAACAATAAAGTCTTCTGGTGTCAAAAGAGCAAAACAGGCTTTAGTCGTCATTGTGTTTAAGTTAGTTTACAATATCGTCCTTGAGGACTTTGTAAGTTTGTTGTTATAGAATTATATGACTCAGGGTTTTTAGTCGTAATAGTATAAACCATTATATCTTCTGCCATTTATATATATTTAAAAGTTTTTCTGAAAGTGGAGAAGAACTTCATCTAAACTTTCACATGGCGTTTCTTGAAGTTCTCTGTCTAAGAAGTTCAAATATTTTGTAAAGACATAGAACTTTCCTTTGTCTACACGAACAAACAAAACAGGGTCTTTCATATCGTTCAAAAGTGTGTAAAGTCCTTTACATGAAATAAAGTCTATATTATTTTTCTTCAAACATCTTTCAAGAAGTTTTGACATTTTTACTTAGCAAATAAATTTTAATGAAATGTTGTGGTCGTCAAATATTTTTATGACGTCTGGGAAACTATACTTTAAGTTCAACGTTTCACCTCCTTTCATAACGTATATCTTGTCAATGACATTATATGAAACACCACAGCAACTAATGTCGGGTTCTATTTCTTTGATGTTTATATCGTCTGCCTCTGTCAAAAGTTTCAATAGTTCTTTCAAAACTTCATGAGGTGCAATGACATATGAGTTCACTTTTACAGGGTTGTGTTCGACCAAGTTTAACATTATACCTAAAGCTTGACAAATCTTCTCCTGAGTTTGAAGTTTGTCTTTAAGTTGTTGGTAGTCGTTTCGAATATCTGCAACAGAACTTAAGTCTCTGCTAACTTCAGGATATGTTGGTTCTTTTACAGGAACAATTGTTATACCATCTTCGTCTTCGTATGGTTTCCCCACTTCAACATCTCTGTCTTTGACATTGACAACAACACTTTGACTGTTTGTTTGAGTTGGTGAATTTAACTTCACATCTGCCACCGCCATTAAACCTTTTGAAACACTTACGCTTCTATTTTTCGGAAATGACATTTTACTTAGAATAAAAAGATGGACGTATTCGAGTATCTCTTCGAATTGAAGCAGAACAAAGTTTACACACACAAACAATACAAATACATTGACAGAATAGTTCTTTATACAAACAATGGTAAATGTTATAGAATAGCAGTCTTTGCTGAACCAAAATATTTTCATAAAGCAAAGAAAGTTGGTATAACTGAAATGGTGAAAGTTCTTGAAGCAGACAAAAATATAACTTCAAAACTTACAGATATTTCTAAAGGTAAGTTTATCTTACAATATTATGTCAAAACTGGCGTACTGTCAATATTTGACGGAGAGAAGTCAGTTCAAGAACAACTTACTGACCTGCTGCCAAAATCTGCTCGATGGAAGCTGTCGTTATGCCAATCTGAGGAGCCCCAGCAGGTTTCATCGAACGAATCTTCAAAAGAGCATCTTCCGTGAAAAGTGCTATTGGTTTTGTAAACTTCTTTGCTCTCAGTTCATCTGGACCGTCTCTGTCACCAGTATATTGTATTTGTACAGTACCAACAGTTGAAATACCACCCATAAAGTCTTCTGAGTCAGCAAATGGAATGCCAAGCCAAAAGTTTGAACGGTCTCCATTTGTATATTGAGTTTTTTGACCTCCTGTATGAGTCCATACTTTCACATATGGCATAATAGAACTTTGCATTTCAGGGTTAATGGTTGTTGTGAAGTTGTTGTTAAAGTTCATAGCATCTAATGTCAAGTTGTATGACCTCATATCCTCAACTGTAGAATATTCTTCTCTTGGATAATATTTGCCATCTATGTTTATATGATATTTAATACCAGGGTTGTAGAAACAAGAATAGTCATTTATAGTTCGTCTGAACAGTACAAACATAGTATCTGCATGTTTCATTGCAGTTGTTAAAGCAATATCTGTTCTTGCACCTGGGTCAGCACTTTGGTTTCCAACTTCACCTGCAAAGTCTTTGACAGATATTTGGTGTATAGGGAACATAAGTGGAACTGCAATATATTTGGCAGCTAAAGCATTTGAAATATCTGGGTCCAACATATAGACTGCAAGTCTGCTTTCTATTCTCTTGCATTCAAATTTTTCGCATGTGAACTTAACTGGGTCCCAAGCAGTTCCAGCAGCATTGAAATAATAGTTTACTTCATTGTTGAAGTTTGAGAAACCAAAGTCTAAGTCAACTTTGTCTTTGCAAAAGTCGGCGAATGACTTGCTCCCATTACGTCTGTAAGAGTGAATGGGTCTTGTGTTGGTGCAATGACTAAGTTATTTTTGCTTGGAGTAAGTTCGATAGAAATTTTTCCTGCCCAGTTTGGCAAGTATCTTAAAAACCTGAAGATGAGGAAAGATGACAAAGGAACTCTAAGTTTCAGTTTTACTTTAGTGGCAGCAGTTCCATCTGAACCAGAAAGGTTAACATAAACTCCTGGAACGTTAGGGTCAAGTCTTCTTATTTTCTCAATATTTGCATACTGGTCTGTTTGTTCTCTAGCTTGTGGTTGTACTGAGTTTCTCAAAGCGAACCATTCATAGTTTGCCCATGTTACTGTTTGAACTAAGTCAGAGTTAGAATATATCTTATATCCCATGAAAACTTCTGGAGCATATTGGTATCCGACATAGAAAATTCCATTGCAACCTTTCTTGTCAGACAACTTGGCAGAAGGTTTTATTTCAATGTCTTGTTCCACGTATAAGAATGAGTTGTCAATAGAAATAATATGAAACCTGTCGCAAGCAATATCTACTGTTGTTGAAGAACCTTCTCCAAACTCACCTACGTTTCCATAAGAAACAGCAGTTGTATATTCGTAAGTTCCAGGAACTATTTCTGACCTTCTAATGGCATTGTCGCATTCGTTATACCATTCGGAAACATTTCCGTTCATGGCATCCAAAACTGTTGGCGTTATATTCTGAGCGGCGTACATTTCATATGGGTAAAAATATAGAATAGTTGGATTTATATATCATAATAGAACCCACTCGACCAAGCTTTACTTTCTTCCTGACTGAGTTTTTAACTCTTCTTTTTCCTTCATTGCCACTACTTTCACTAGATGAAGTTACTTCTTCACTACTTTCACTTTGTTCTACTCTTCTCTTCTTCTTTGGTGTCGCTTTTGGTAACTTGCCCTCTGCTTCAAGTTGTTGCATCTTTGCCTCATGTTCACCTAGTATGTTGTAAATTTCCCATGTCCTTTTTGCCTTTGGGCTCTGGTCGCCCATCTCAGGTAACCTATATCCTAGAAAGATTTTGTCATAGTTTGTATTTGAGTCTTCGCGTATTGTTTGCATGACTCTTTCCTGAGTTTCCGGTTCAAGCTCTTCAAACAGAGCTTGTCCATATGGAATAAGCTCGTTTCCAAATATATGTTTTTGTAGCCATTCTGGTTTTCTTTCCATGTTACCAATAATATCTTTTGTGAATGGGAAAGCTTTTACCCAATTTCAGTCTTGCGTCATTTATTTCTGTAGTTGGTTTTATTTTGTCAAGGAACATGTTTTTCAATACTAACATTTCATTTGGTACTGTCCATTTGAGTTTTCTTAAATATTCATCCCTTCTCGGTTCATTGTCTGCAAAGTAAGTTTTTATGACATTTTGTAAACTTTCGTTTGCAAGGTCATGTACAATAGGTTCTCTTCCTTCTCTCTCCCTAACTTTCTTTCTAAACTCTTCACCAAATATACCATCTTATGGTTCTGTGTAGTTCTTTGAGATAAATGTTCTAGAACGTCAGGTGTTATATTTC